ATATGAACAGTATGCAAAAGTTACGTACATCTCTATAAAAATTGTAATTTAAATTACATATTCAAACGTACTTAGACTAAAATTATGAGATAATATATAAAATAGAATTAATAAATCTATTTCTTACTGAAAGTTAACTTGTAAATAGTAGTTTTCTTTAATAATTATATATAACATTAATTTGTGAATCAACATCAAAATCGTTAAAATGACAAATAGCAATATTAAGAGACAGTAAATTGCTGTAATGTTCATTTCTAATTTTCTGTAAATGTTGCCATTAAAAATATATTAGGTATAAACAAAGAAGTAGTTACTTCTGAGATTGTGGTTGTTTTAGTGTTACTTAGCTAATTATACAAACAAACATACAAACTTTTTCCCCATTTTCATCCCTTTAAGGGATAATTTCCGGAATAAAAAGTATCCTATGTCCTTCCCAGGGTCTCAAACTATCTTCTTACCAAATTTCATCTAAATCGGTTCTGTAGATCCAATACAATATCACAAACTTAAAAAATTCACAAACTCACAAACTTTATCTCTTTATAATATTAGTATAGATTCTCTTCTAGATCTAATCTTGTATGAAATAGTCATGAATTCGATTCTTCCTTTATGCTATTTGTTTTTATTTATTTATTTTTATATCGCTCCTAAAATAAAATAAAAAACTACCTATCTAGGTCATTATAATACATAGCCTGGGCTTTCAAACTCTAAACATAGAATATCTGCCCCCAAATGAAGGTCAACCAGTGGGATGCAAAGATATGTCTTCATCATAATGATATACAGGATAATGTAGAGAAAATGGCATACTCAAGCAAGTGTCTAGTTTCTACTCAGGTCACACCGGTCAACTATTTACTGGGTATATTTAGCACCGACTGCACGTCCCATCAAATCTCCATTCCCTTTCGGTGCATTTTGATACAACGCTCATATTTCATTGCAATACATATTAGTATTCCTCACCAATGGATGCGCGTGATTTGTATTTATATTTAAGAATGTATAGATCTTCCTGTCACTGTGTATTTTTTTCTATTTTGAAGGAGGCGCCAGTACATATTTATTATTTATGTAATTATTTTAAAAATACTTTACTTTTTTTATTTAATCAACCGATTGACAATTTTAATTATATACCTAAGTATTTCGCAATACATTTGCATTTTCTTGATATCTAAAATTAAAAATTTTATAGATGTCCAATATAAACTTTTTTCCCAGATTAAAATCCTTACCTTACCTTCACTATATTTCTAATGTGAGATAAAACTTGAAATTAAAAAAAAACATTATGACATTACGTTAGCATTCAGTTAATGTCATATTACATCTTAACGATCCTTAATGTTCCTTTCTCTGTTACATAAAATAGATATATAATGTAAATTTCAGTATTAATTTCTAACACGTAGTTTTTGCATACTTTTATATTACCTAGCATACACGGATGTGTTGCACACTATGGGATATATTTAATACCTACTAGCGACTCACTCTCGCTTCGCTTCGGGTTCATCTTTAGACTATCAATCTATCCCACGGGAACTGTACATTTTTCTGGGATAAAAACCTATTTGCTATTCCAGACTATAATCTATCTCTGTACAAAGTTTCATCCAGATCCGTTCAGGCGTTCTGGCGTGAAAGAGTAACAAACATCCATCCATCCATCCATCATTCGCCCTCAATACTCACAAATTTTAACATTATTTATAACACATTAGTAGGGTTTGTATCAAACTGGAATATATCCTGCGACCTCGCGAGAGTTAATTTAATAATCATTAAACACTGCGCCACACAGTCGAATGTACAGACTATGATATACTAAAATATGAATATATTCGCCCTTGGCTTCACTCACGTACATGCAATGTAATAATTTTAACATTAATATTACATGCACAGTGTGCAATATACGTATGAAATGCACTTTAATTTTAATATTTTTAATTCTTTATGTCGTAAATAATAATACGCAAAGAGAGAGAGATTACAATATTTATAAGATACTAGCATTGCCCGCGGCTCCGCCCGCGTTCAGATTACCAACGGTTGAAAACCAAATTCTTAGGTTTTACATATTAGTATACTCTTACAATGCAGTTTTTGTATTTTTTCTCAGAAATGAGATATTTTCCCGCGGTAAAAAGTTCTATATGTTGACCCGGATAACCAGCTATCACCATACCAAATTTCATTAAAATCCCTCCAGTGGTCTTTCCGTGATGCGATAACAGACAGAAAGACAAAAATTCTAAAAACTATAGATTCGGCCTCTGTATCGATAATTATGTTTATTTCAATAAGATGTTCCAAAAAATATTTAATGTACAGATTCGGCTTAGTTACAGTTTTATTATATGTATAGGCTATAGACAAGTAAATACTAAGTTTAAGCAATTCTTGCACTTGTAGGACGTTTCCAGTTTGATGCAAGTTGGCAATTCGTCGCGAACAGAATATACTTGCATATCATTACATGTCGACATTAAATATCATTGTGTAAGAATATGACATCTTTATTCATGTCTAGTAACTGAATTTAGCTCTAAATTTTACACTACATATTTTAAACTTGTGACATTTTATTATATGATGAATAGTTAGTTAATATAACCTCATATACTAATTAAGGCATGTCTTGTATGTCTGTTTGTATCACGATGTGAATTTTATTGACCACTAAGTACATTCTGGCTTATATACAGTAGGTACATCGGGTACATTTAAATGGTTAGTATAGACTATAGAATAAACTATATACATACATATATGTACATATACAGGTGGAACAAATCGATGGAACATGTAGAAAAAGTACCTTAAACAATGAAAATATCAAGATTCACTCTACAATTTTTTTGAAAGGAGGTTACCTTAACGGGTAATCGAAACGACTTCAATATTTACTTACTTTAAAAATTAAAAAAGAAATACATATACTTATCCCTTACTTGAGAAATGATTAATTCCCCATCTTCCACCCTCCTTTTCACTCCGTTAAGGGATGATTTCCGGGATAAAAACTATTATATATCCTCCTCAGGGTCTCAAACTATTTTCATACCAAATTTGATCTAAATCGGCTTTGTGGATTAAACGTGAAAAGGTAACAGACAAACAGAGTTACTTTCGCATTTATAATATACATTTATACATATAATATAATTCTGAGTCGGATCTGTACATTAAATATTATTTGGAAAATCTTATGAAATAGTCATTATTATCGATCGATACAAGGGCCGCATCTATAGTTTTTAAAATTTTGTCTGTCTGTCTGTCTGGGAACGCATCACGAGAAAACCACTGGAGGAATTTTGATGAAATTTGGTATGATGATAGCTGGTAATCCGGGTCAACATATACCATACTTTTTACCGCGGGAAAATATCTTATCTCTGAGAAATCTATACTAAACTTTAAAACGTAGTATAAATAAGTATATAATAAAAATTAATGCATAAAATTAGTATGGATGATCACGTAATTTTTTAAGTGATTATAATTTCTGGAGAAAGGTAATAGGTAAACCTGTTGGTCTGGTTAATGTGGAAATGAGAAACACCATCTTCCTAACTTATGTTCAGCGGAAAGTGATATAATTACACGTAGTATCTAGTTTAATTCTCATATTATGTAAAACTAATTATGTATATTATAAGTTAAATAGAAACAGTATATAAACGACATCGTTATGGCTAAAACGGGTGATTTATTTTTAGATAATCATCTCATTAATCTCTATGGTAACTCGAATGTTCTTAAGCTTTCCAAATTTAAATCAAAGTTATATTTTACACATAAAAGTAATGTAAAACGTAATTTTACTTTACCAATTTCCATCAAAATTGAAACGGACCATATGTTCGTCCGTAGTTAATCGGATTGTTTTATGATTTGGTTTCATTTATGTATAAATGTATAAATATGTTGAGACATTAACACACAGCACCATCTAGTTCCATGGTAAGCTACGAGGCCTGTGTTATGGATACCGGATAGTTGATACACTATACATATATAACTTCAAATACATACATATTATAAATATAAATACCATGACTGGAGTACAAGCATTCGTGCTCACCACACAAATGAATGCCTCCAGCGGGACTGGAACCCGCGACCGCTGGCGCAGTAAGTAGGGTCACTACAAACTGAGTATGAGAATGTATTTTCTAAATCTCTTTTCCAACCAGAAGTAATAAGCAAGAGATCGCTAATAAACGATCACTTAGATAATATATAAAGTACATCAAATATGTATTATAGCAACATTAGAGCCCAGTGAAAGCCGATCCACTTCAACGCATCAATGCTGCAACTCGCATGCCACTCTCTTGCGACAGATTCCGATGGACAGCCCCCTATTTATTGTTACTTAAACACCTTTCACTTAAAAAGTAGCTAAAAATCTTTACAGGATTTCGGATTAAGAATTATAATAATAAACAAAAAATGTATTCTCGCTTAACGATATTCTGGACTTTGTACAGTATTTTCGGCGAATTTTACCTTAATTTCTAGACGACTAAGTTAGTTGTAGTAGTTAATAGTTAAGTTTTAGTTAAGTTTTTGGTTTAGCTAGAACTGAAAAGGACATACGGATGAGTAATAGCAATATTTGTCTGTTGCGGTCCGTGGACGTCCGTCCAAAATTTGGACCTCTGAAAATATCGTTAAAAGCAAAGTTGGTGGTAGATTGGTAATGATCAAATAAAGTTACTTGTACTAAAAATAAATATTAAAAAGTTATTTACAAAAAAAAACCGATTGCGCAAAAAGCGAATAAAAAAAAGAGAACAAGTTGACGAAGGAATATATGTATAGTATTATCAAATCACTGTTTCCCACATACATGGTTGGTCCAGTAGAGATCTCTTTTAGAGATCTTTTAGTCCACATTTGTCCACGTAATTTTGTTGATTTATTTTTTTGTATTTTTTTATATAATAAAAATTATGTGTAATTCTTTTCAGGGCTCAGACCCTCGCGTGGCCACATGCCGCGGCCGGTTGCAGACACGACGGTGTCAACTCAACCAAGAAATCAATAAGGAACTGCGGTTACGCGCTGGAGCGGAGAACCTTTTCAAAGTAAGTTAAACACAGATTTAAAGTGAAATTATTATATAATTTTCCCTATATCTCATTGCATTGGTAAAATATCTCCTTTACACAGCTAAACATCAGATGGTCCTAAGTTCGAGATTTGTCAAAAGTTTTGGATTTTGCTAATCGGTCATCACCTGAGCTACTAATATAAATGCGGAAATTTGTATGTGTGTTACTCCTTTATAGTGAAACGGCTGACCGATTTTAGATAAAATTCAGTATGCAAATAGACCGTGAACCGGGAATAACACATAGAATACTGTTAGGCAGCTAAGGGCGCACCCGAGCGAAACAAGTACATTTGAAAGAGTCTACCATAGCTTATTATTTTTATTCAATAGCTGTTCACGTACTGCGCAAAGTTGTGGGCGAGCGCCAGTGCCTCTAATATAAGTATCATCCAAAGATCAAATATGATCTTACGCACTATGACCGATGTACCTACCTTGGTTTGTAATTAACAACGAAGTACATATAATAAAATTGTAGAGGTCGAATGTCTGTACATAGAAAAAAATGCTGAAAACCGAGTCAGGGGGGTGTAAGAATAGAAATAGAATTAATCCATATTTTTTTCTTTTTTTTTTGTTTCTCTATCTGTCTGTTTATCTGTTTGTCTGTTTGTACGGGCTAATCTCCGAAACTGTTGGACCAATTTAAATTAAATTTTACTTGTTGGAACCTTAAATTCCCGGTCAACATTTAAGATACTTTTCATCCCGGAAAATAAAAAAGTTGCCCGTGGAATAGTTAAAAAACTGTAGTAACTTATACAGCTTAGTACACAAAAACTACTGATTGGATTTTAATGAAACTTTACAAGAATATAGTTCATATATCAGAATAACAAAAAGGGCTACTTATTATCCCAGAAAAATTTACAACTCCCGTAGGATAGATTTGTTTTTGTTTCTCTAGAGGCGAACCCTCCGTAAGCCGAACCGTAAGCCGCTAGTTATAATGTAAAAATTAACATTGTGAAAGAAGAAATAAGAGCCCTTCCCAAACGCTACCAGCAGCGATTGTCCGAGCATTCATCTAATTGGCAATCCATCTCCAGGGGCAAAATTGTCCTGTGGAGTCTTTCATTAATTACGTAAGGAAAATTTTGGCCATTTTTGACTTTCGTTTATTTAATTTTAACTGACTTGTAATGTATTCTATCTCATTCTCTCACCGGCTTAATCCTGTATATTTATGTGTTTGTCTCTTTGTCGTAACGGATTTTAGTTTTATCAAGTATTATATATTGTATCAAATCACAACGATTTTAAAGAAGTTTCACTTCAAAAATAGCTCGTGAGACTTACAGCCGGCCCAGTACAATGTCCTGTCTCGGGTAGCGCCGGGACCGTATCTCTCCCCATTGCGTGCTGGATTGCCCTCCTATCTGAATATAGGGGAATGAATAGAAAAGAAAATAATATACATTAATACATATTAATGTTATAAATACAAACGTGGTATGATTATAAATTCTTGAAACCACTCAACCAATGGCTTGAAAAGAAACTGTCTATTCCAATTTGTAAAGTAAATAATATATATGTGTAACATAACTTTTGAAATAGATATTCACATATGACACCAATTCTCATGAAATTTAATATGCACGAGACCTGTAATACACTGGAGGACGCACCTTAGCACCGTTTTTTCCAAGGTAGCTCTTGTTCTTTATAAAGGATTAGCGACTCACCCTCGCTTCGCTCGGGTTCGTTCCCGTTCGCTTGATTCCCCACACAAACTTTCATCCCCATTTTCACCCCTTTAAAGGATGATTTCCCGGATAAAAACTCTTCTTACCAAATTTCATCTAAATCGGTTCAGTAGATCCAGAGATTACCCCCTACAACTTCACAAACTCACAAACTTTACCTCTTTATAATATTAGTATAGACTAGTGATATTTTACAATTTATCTTGTATGGCAGTTCGTTGTTTCGTCCATATTAGTAAAACCTTGCAATCTTGAAGATTCTTCCCCGGGCATTGTATATTATAAATAAATTTATTTATACCCGCGGCTCCGCTTGCGTGGTACCTAAATCGATAAAAGTACACTATATTTTTTTATCCAGAATTTTAACTATTTCCATAACTAATTTAACTTAAATCCATTAAACGTTTAAAGCAGATAATAAAAATAGCCTTCGTGTTACTCCAGGGCATCATTTATTTGTGTGCTAAATATCATCCAAAGTCGTCCATCCGTTTCACTATACAAGAGTAACAAACAAACACACATAGACTTTCACATTATAGTAGTCCGATAACATTAATATATATTTTTTTCACAGCACTTTTATTTATGGATTTATTTATTTTAGCATATAATAACATAAACAGTTTCTGAATATTAATTAACAAATACGCTATCGTAACAAATACGCTAATCCATACGTTACTAAACCGTGTTACCTACGTAACACGTACGTGGACACTCCATACAAAACGCCACTCGAACCCATGGTTTTCGATGTAGGAACAGATACTCAGACCCCATGGCAGACATAGCATGCATGGCATGACAGACATCATATTATAGGTATGTTATACAAGACATAAAGCCTGATTATAAGTACTCGCCTGTTTCGTCCCACTTTGTGAGTTACATAGTGGAGCGTACCACGACTAACACGGAAGACACCATGTAATGCACATGGTGCATATTGCATAAATGAATTATGCAAGCTGGTGATAGTGATGTAAAAAGAATGTAAAGCTATTTATTTTAACTAACATGTTATATTTTAAATAAAACTATCTTTTCGGATTATTGCGCGGATTTCTTTTGATTTTTGGTTCCCGACGTTTCGAATGCTTTACAGCGCACATGGTCACGGGAGAGACTGAGGTTATAGACATCTCAAAGGCGTTATACGCTTGTTACAGACAGTGCCTATCCACTATGTCTAAATTACGAGTAGTGGGTGGAGCAAAAAAGGCAAGGACTAAAATAGTGGGTAGGCAGATAACTAAAATTGAAGTGTCTGTTTGTAATGTTAAAACAACGGCTTTTTACTAAATGTATATGAAATCATATATGGTTACTAATAAGAAAAAAAATTATTTTTTTATTTTTGCCTGTCTTTCTATCTGTTAGTTATGTGTACTAATCTCCGAAACGTCTGGACCGATTTTGACGGGGCTTTCACTTGCATATAGCTAATGTTATAAGGAGTAACTAAGGCTACTTTTATTTTAGAAAAAGAATCAGGGTTCCGCGCCAAAAAAAAATCATGCATTTGTGAACAATATCCGCGTATCCAGGGACGCACCCGAGCGAAGCGAAGGTAAATCGCTAGCTCTAAATATATCTTAATGTATCGGCTAAAAGGCTTTAAAAATTTTAAGTTATTGCTGAATTATTCTTGCATACCAGTTTAGTAGAGCCATATACATATTTAATAGATCGAAGTAGCGTAATATGGAAATATCTATTTCAAAACCTTTATGTAATATCGATTTCTCAGTTATCCCACGGGAACGACTTGATCAACCATGATAAGTACAAACATAGACAACAAGATATCTTGTTCCCCGGCGGATCTCAATCCCCTACCTATCTACCATACCATAACCAAGGCAAATATCTTGGTTTTCCTTACTAGAAATAGTAATTTAACAGATTATGGATCGGGCATATGCCAATTTTTTAAATCTAATGAGAAAATCTGGAAATTAATGTGAAAAAGGAATTGAACTGAAAACTTCAGATCGCCTTGAGAATCGCTTTAGTCTGAAGAAACAGCAATGGTCACTACATAGAATACCCAAAGGCATGTATACGCATTACAGCATCAAAAAGTAAATTTATTATATGAATACCTAATGATTAAACAACATTATAAATATGTTGGGAAATTAACACACACCACCATCTAGTTCCATGGTAAGCTACGAGGCTTGTGGTATGGATAACAGATAACTTTATATTCATACATATTATAAATATAAACACCCATGACTGGAGTGCAAACATTCGTGCTCATCACACAAATGAATGCCCCCTGTGGGACTTGAACCCGTGACCGCTGGCAAAGTAAGTACTCACTACAAACTGAGCCAAACATGTCGTTTGACTCAGTTTGTAGTCTCTACGCTTTCTAAAACAAAAATTGATAATTAACTTTTTTATAATACGTTAGAAAATGCTATAAGAACTAGATTGATAAGTAGTCTGATTCAAAATTCAAATAAGAATAATGATATGAGAATGACAGTGACAAGTGGATAGCTAACACTCTATAGTCTATACTTTAAGTCCAAGTACTTTCACAAACTTAATTTAATCATATTATATTAAGGCAAAAATAAAATAGAAAATCGATTTTTTAATGATTATAAAACAACAATATCAAAGTACGTATTCTTTTATAATTTAACAGCTTCAAATGCTTTTGGCTTCAGCCAAAGATAATTTTTTTTTCTACCAATGTCAAATCCATACCAAGATCTAAATCTTGGAAGTCAATTTAAAACTACTTCTAAGATTTCGCACTATTTAGAGTTTTACCATATTATTAATTCCATTTCATTTTAAACCATTCATATTTTTTAGGTTTAATAATATATTGTGGTTTACTAATATAGTTAAAAAATTTAAAAGGTAAAACTTAGGTATTCTAATGCCTAAGGCACGTTGTCATTCTTTTCGTTGCAAAAGAAAATCAATTAACATCACAACTACAATTTTAACACCATACAACCGTCACATAGATAAGCATTACCAAATATACCTGTATAAGTAAATAAATTGCGTTTCGGCGAAAATACGTTTAAAAGGACAGATAGACAGACAAAAATAACCTTAAAAAAGCTTAGTTTACATGATATATATATAAACGGATGTACAATTAAAAATGTTTTAATTTCACACTGCTTAGCACGCAAACCTTGCCTGTACGCAAATGGCCTTAAGCTGTCAATAGCTAATATAATATTTCCTATTATTATGCCTGAACGAATTGTTTCGCTTTCTCTTTGGCGCTATCTAGCCCTGGGGGCACTGATACGTTCCATCATAATGAAAATTCTTGGCTCTGCACAATAAAAAGTGCTCTACTTTTGGCATTTTTTACTATGTACCTACATACTACATACATATCTAATTGATATAGCGTTGGAAAATAATTTTATGTATTAAACTGTACCGCCTTACAAAATAGGCGGGAAAATAATTTTATTTAATACATACTACATCAGCATCGTCTTAGATTTGCAGTAAATAATGGTCACACTTACATAAATACATTTTTTAAATCTTTAAATGGTATTTAAGTATTTCGGTACTCAATAGGCAAAAATTATCATATTAAACAGTATTGTTATAGCTATCAAGTTTCATCCTCATCTGTGGTTATTTTCAATATTTTTTTTCATAATACAATGCTACCAATTTAACAACTTTGCACAGATAAAAAAACACGAAATGTAACAAATAAAGTAAACAACTAAATCCAAACCATTCTCCTCTCATGTTCATGTATGTAAAAATGTCATGAAATACACCAGACTAGTTCCTGCGGAGACCTGATGTGGCAAGGTCAAGGGTCAGAAACCCTTAAGCAAGGGGAGCACGCTCCAACGCCTCGGCTTTGTCTGCAACAACAATACACTGAGAAACGGAAATGATTCACAAATGAATGGATTTTTTGCTTCACAAAATTCGTGAGAGGTCACAGGTTAGCTTCACCATTAAGTCTAATAATGATGTTGTAAATGCTGCCTTGGTGGTCTAATTGCTAGCATATACGGCAACGGAGCTGGTGGTCCTAGGTTCAAGTTTCGGATCGGGTTCAGTTGTCGAATTTTTCTGTCAAGATATTCTTAATAAAAGCCCGAGTTGTGAAGATAACGGTGTTTACATCTCGTGCCCTAGACAGTACATAAAGCCGTGGGCCCCGTGCCTGATTTCTCATCGGTCGTGTCGAATTGTCGTCCCACCGGAGTGTGAGAGTGATAGGAATAGAGAGAGAGTTGAACATTTATGTACTTTGTACCATACAAATGTTCACTTCTTTAAATCGAACCCACTACTTGTTCAGACTCATGTATATTACACTACATATTTTTAATTTTGTTACAGGCGACTACAAATAGAAAACTTCGTGAAACAGTCGCCCTTGAGCTGAGCTTCGTCAACTCGAACCTACAGCTCCTGAAGGAACAGCTCGCCGAGCTCAACTCCTCGGTGGAACTATACCAGAATGACAGGTATAAGAACAATGTATTAATTCATTACATATAACCACAGATTACTCATTATATAAAAACACATATTATTTAAATTAATATGTAATTATTCTGTAAAGATAAATTGCCAATTTGCCTACTTTCTTAAGTAATATCTAATTTATATAGCTAGTTTATTTTTGGAACGCCAATAAGAAGATTACATTAAATAAATAAAAAAAAATACATAATAAGAATTGCTAAAGTAATTCCGTAATTAATTATTTACAGATTTCATCAAATTATAATGCTAAAATCCCAAATATAATTATCTCACAATTATAATTCTCATGTGCAAAAGAATTATTTATAAGTCATAGCCAAAAAACGCCTAAAAGCCACAGTAAAATATAATATTTATTAGGTACATGTGATGATACTATATTTATATACCGATTGAAATAAAGCAAAAACTAAATGTTAATTAAAGCTTAGCACAATGCATTAGTGAAAATCATGTCCAAATCGTTTAAGCCGTTTCTGAGATTAGCGCGCACAAACGCTCTGACAAAAATTGTAAAAATCATTGTCTATCTCTTTATTGACATAATGACCCCCCAAAAATAGTTTTTTTTTTTTCAAAATATTTTCCATGTACAGACAGACAGCGCTCAGTAACAATTTTATTATATGTATAGATTTTTACTACTTATCACTACTTTTAAAGTTCAGTGAGACGATCATGATCGTCTTATATTTTGCAGAGTGTAACACATTTTTTCTGTATAAAATAATGATACTTTGGATAAAATATAGCATGTTACCCGAACTCAATAATTAACTGACAGTAAAATAACAACTTTTACACGAAATAAGTGCGTAATAAAAGTAAATGAGTGCAAAAACTTAACGGCGTGTAATTGTGCAAAAATGGCTGTGGTTAGGCTCTGTTAAGAAACTAGCTTTTTATTAATAAATACATATATCGCGTTTTATAACTTTGTTTACTAGCAAAATATATGTTTATGTAAAAACCGTGATTAAATTGTTAGGCCACACGTGTGGAGCCGCATTTTTTTTTTATAAAACTACTTGAGTAATGTGTTTAAGATTTTTTTTTATTAGAGACACTTAATAATTTAAGTAAATAACCTCAAAAAAAATAATGTAGGTATGTCTCTTTATTTTAAGTACCATTTTAATACATTATAATATATATATTTATAATCTGTATTATAATTATTTTTCTCAAATGATTTTCTTGGGGATAATAAACTAAACTAGGTTCTCTAAATCAATTCCAAACCAAACAATTATCCAACAGCAGTAGCAATGACCCGCCAATTAATAAAATGTTCCCAGAACCAATTAAAATTTAAGAAACAAGCTATAGTATAACTCCGTCATTGTTATGATTTCCCGCGTTCGTTTTAGCAAATTTTAAGACATTTAATTTACTCACTCTGTTAATTACAGAGAACTGTACCGCGTACTACTCATTCCGGACAGAATGATAGTATAATTAAATGTAACATGGATCCACAACACAGTCGTGGATTTATAAGCTAGCTTAGTAGGCCTTAAGAATATGGCGGCAATTTTAGGGGTGGAAAACTTGGGACAAAATTTTTTTAAGCGTCTTAGAGAAATTATAAAGACTCCTGTAACAAATCGGAACATGATTGAGCTTTAATTAGCTCATAAATATACCAAAAACTATTTCTTATGTAAATTCGAAATTGTGTATTGTAAAGAAAATTTGGAAACAGATAATTATAGAGGCAAAATACCTATATGGAAAATATGTAAATTCCACTGATTGTAGTTATTCACATTAACTTGTTAATTGTGATTAAATAGGTCAAGTGTAAGTCGGATTTGCGTTTTGAGGGAATTGTATCACCATAGATTAGGTACCTTTATGGTGTTATGCTTTAGGATTTAATCATATTAAGTTTCATGTTTGTACATAGTATTTTTTACTATTTTTACGATAAATTAATAAAACATCATATATAGGTACGAGCCTTAATTTTTGTTAAAGGTAAAGATATTATGAATTTTCTCGTAATGACATACCTATTATATGAGTATTATAGTGTAGGATCCCTAATAAAACTTCGAAATATTCCTTGCTTACATTCTTATACTCACTTTTATGATCGTCAGTGAGTTACATAATTTATAACCATAATTTTTAGTATTACAAACAATTCGTGACTATTCACTACAGGGTAGTACCAACATCTTTTGTTTCGGACGACCAGAACCAGGGTATGTCTAGTACCCGGAGGTCGACCTGGGACAATCTCCCAGACGTTCTTGGCGTACACGGCAGTATGTCCGTTCGCTGGTAATGTACGCCACCACGCACCCCTGAATGCGTAGCTTGGGTCCCGATCCACTAGGGTTTCTTCGTTGACAGGAGACTATACTTAGAGGCGATGAAATAAAACACAATTTTTCCTTTTTTCTCTCTTGGTTTCGGTTCTTCCTTTTCCTTTTAGTTGTTGCCTCTTCGGTGGCTGTCTTGCGACTGACTCGAATCGAGAAATGGCTCGCCTTTTATTTGGCCCGTTAATACCTTACAGAGAGCCGCGTACTTTGAGCTCATTTTTCGAGTAAAATTTCCCTAAACCGAAACCTTGAGAGTCCTTTTATTTTATGTTTTCAGTAAAACACCTTACACATATTTATTTATTTACATGCCTTACATACTATTATACAATATTAAAACATAATATTCAATATATAATAATTAATTAAAAAAGTCTTAAAACAAAAATATCTAAATTTCTAGGTTGCTACATTTTTACTATACATTTTCCCTTATAACTTTTGAACGGATAGTCCTATCGACCTAATTCTTGTTTTATTATAAGTTTTATAATAAAATCTATTATTTAAAACATAAACTATTATGCTATTGCAAGAAACAAAAAATCTCATTTTCAAGTTACGTAATTATATGCTAACATTTTACTTACGTACCTATTCCTTTCAAATTAATGTTAAATAGTCTTATATGATTCAAATAAGCAAAAAATACTCTAAACTAACCTTATTACACTAATTAGAACTTATTTTAACATAATAAATCTAATAAGAATGAGATTTCATATTTACAACAATTATTCATAATACGCTAAAATGACATTGTCCCTATATTAATACACACGTTACTCGAAGATAAGTTTTCCGTCGCCGACATTCTCCCCCTCGTGCTTTGCACCAACTCCTGGACTCGGCGACGCTCCCGGCACCAACAGCACCACTCTCGAACTGGGCCTCCGTAGGACACCTCCTCTGGTCTCGACGTCGACGACTCTGGTCCGCCCGTCTGGTCCAGGATACACATGCAGGATTCTTCCGCGTGGCCAGATGCATCTTGGTAGGCTGTGATCGACGATCAGTACGATGTCTCCGACTTGCAAATCTGTGGCGCTGACTCTTCCTTTGGTCTTCCTTGGTAGTAGAGTGGGCAAATACTCTCTCAGCCAACGTTGCCAGAAGTGATCGGCAAGTCGCTGCGTAGCCTTCCAGGTGTGTCTGCCCACAAGCTCGTTGTCCTCGAAGCTGCCGATTCTTGCTGCGCCACATGATCGCCCGATGAGAAAGTGGTTCGGTGTAAGTGCTTCTTCTTCAGGGTTCTCGGAGAGGTGGGTGAGGGGCCGAGAGTTGACTATGTGCTCGGCCTCTAACAGGAGGGTATGAAGTACCTCCTCTCGTGGTTGCCTTTCGTTGAGCGTGGCGTCCAGTGCGGTTTTAATGGATCGCACCAGACGCTCCCATGCACCTCCCATGTTTGGTGCACCAGGAGGTATGAACTTCCACTGCACACCGATCTTCTCCGCTTCCGAGATAAGGTCTTCTTGCTTCATGGTGTCTAGTGCTTCTTTGAGTTCTTTGTTGGCGCCAACGAAGTTAGTGCCATTGTCGGTGTAGATTATCTTTGGCATTCCCCTTCTCGCGGCGAATCGTCGTAGTGCCATGATCATGCTGTCAGTGGAGAGTGAAGGAGTGAGCTCAATGTGTACAGCTCGTGTTGTTAAGCATGTGAATAGAGCACCCCATCTCTTCTCATGGCGTCTTGCTACGGTGATCGTCATAGGGCCGAAGTAATCTATTCCCGTGCACGTAAATGGAGGGTTTCCGTGCATCAGCCTCTCAGCAGGTAAGTTGCCCACTGGTAGTTCTTGAGGTCTTGCCTTTCTTGTTTTGCACCACTGGCATTGATGTTGAATGGTCTTGATCGCTGACCTCAGTCCTAGCACCCAGAAGCGTTGTCTTACTTCGTTCATTACGGTCGCGTGATTCCCGTGATTGAAGCGGCAGTGAAATTCTTCTATGATGAGAAGTGTTGTCTTGTCCTTGCTGTCGAGTACGATGGGTCGTTTGTAGTCTCTGGTAACCCCTCGTATCGCGTCGATTCTTCCTTTCAGTCGCAGGAGACCTTCTTCTAGCACTACGTCGAGCCTTTTCAACTTGCTGCTGCCCTCTAATTGTTTTCCTTGCTGTAGGCACCTGATGTCCTCTTTGAAGCATTTCTCTTGACTTCTTCTTAACAACAGCGTTTCAGCTTGCTCTAGTAGACTTGTTTCCAATGGTATGTATTTCCTTTCTGACGTTTTTGAAGACAGATGTCGCTTCTCAACAATTTTCTTATTCCTTTTTGTAGTTTTCCAGGTAGGATCTTCTTTGCTGGCGTGGACCTTTTCCTTCCTTCTGCAGAGTTGTATGAACTGCAGTACTCTTGCTGTAGCTCGCCAAAGTCTTTTCCACGACGAGAACTTTTCGGGATCTGGTGATGGATAGGAGCTGCCTGCAGTCGCTACGATGTCCGCTGCCTTTTCTTCGCCAGTGGTTTCTTTCTTGAATGTTCTTGCCGCAGGCCAGTGAACTTCATCTCTTCTTAGAAACCCTGGTCCGGTGTACCATCGGTGTTGGCAGTCGAAGTGTTCTGGTACGTCACGTGTTGCATCATCTGCAGGGTTCTGCGCCGTCGGTACCCATCTCCAGTCCTGTGGTTTTGTGAGATCTTC